CAACAGTTATTTTGCCGCAACGTCAAACCACAAGTTACATGTTGTAGGTAAGGTTACAGGTTGCAAGTGAGGTTAAAGATTTCCGGTCATTAAATACATCTTCTTTATATTATATACTAATAAAAGCAGATATAACATTTTTAGCACCCTGACCATGATCTTTTACTAGTAATTAACTGAATCGTAGAAACAAACGGTATGGCACCACCGTACTGTCATGAATTTGTTTGCGTGTATCTGTTGATCGACTTATTTAGCTGATTACTAGCGAATGGCTGTGTTATGTCTGTCATCATTTAGGCTCATGGGAGGTCCTGGACGGAACTTGACTCAGTGATTTGGAACTAATTACGATATAACCGTTGCTATCCGGACTACTATTTCTGACAGTTGGTATTCGCAGTTAGTAATATAGTGAACGATTAATCAAAAGATATGACGTGTCCATTATTTAGTGTGATTGGCTGAATGTGTGAAGGCCACGCCTTAGAGTCTTTTAACTGCTTTGTAATTGGTTAAGGTTTTGAAAGTGAATAAAAGAGTTTTTAGTTGGTCTTGGCGAGAACACCAGGAGAGACGCAGTCTTGGGCTAGTCTTGGGTCAGCCTTGTGATAGTCTTGGGGACTTTTCCCCAGGGCGCTGTGTCTTATAGAGTACTCGACTGACCGACTAAAGACGAGAGTTGATACGTATTTCGTTGTGTGCGTCTATTTGACTGTAAGGTTTAAGTACATTACAAAAAATTATAAAATAAAATCCTGCTGAATTAACTCTTTGAGTTCCATGATTTGGTTCAACATTTTGCCTATTTTAATGCATTTTCCTATCATTTTTTGTTTGATATTTTTTTAAGAAACTTCCTTTGGGCTACAATACTGTGTCAAATTATATGAACAAGCGTATGCAGGTTTAAATGTTGTGAAAGATGTAAACATTTGACATTGGAACTCACAGATTTAAAAGAATCTCCTAATTAATTAAATTAGTAGATGTTTCTGTAATCAACATGACGATAACATAGCTCCATACACGTGAAAATAAATCAAGATAAAATGTTTCTAACAAAATATATAATATTTTTTTTAAAAGTAAGTGAACAATTTGAAGCTAGAAAATTGGTAACAAATTTTGAAAATGTTCATAAAACCGTTCCTGTATGGGTTAATTTTAAATTGATGGTGTCATCTGGTCTCGTCGCTTCTCCACGAAGAGGCACGCCAACAACGACAAAAAGGGGACAGGGCAGATCGTTAAATGGATATCATGATCGTCAAGGCCGAGAGCATAATAAACGCTTTTTTTACAGTAGGTATCCTAATAGGATGAAAGCGTTAATAATCGGCAACTTGGCCTCCATCCCGCGTTTTTATTAGGCGGTTTGTGGGATTTCTATGGCATAAAAATCAGAAAATGAATATATAAACATGTAGCCCTGCGTACAGTCTTTCGGGCGGCATATTTTCATGGTCAGTTCAATGAGGCTGACCTACACGACTGTACTGTGTTATTGTACTAGAAGGACCTTGTGTAAGCGACAGTTGTTCGCTGTATGATTCAGAATAACAGAAAACTCACGTTTTTCCACGAGGTAATAGGCAATACAATCAGTGGTCGCCTAATCCATACGTCACTCTGCATATGCGGGGCTCATGACTTGAAGTTTCCTTAAAGGTCATTTGTGGGCGTTCGCACCAGAGCTCATCACGTTCGAAGCTGACGTGAGCTTAGCAGCCTCGACCAATCACAAGCCAGCTTAATGTTGATTTGCATAGGTAAACAAACATAGGTCAATCTATAGAGATGCAGGTTCTAGGGCACTTGGGAGTGAATTTTTTTTTTTTTTTTTTTGCTTTTTATTATCCAAAAAGTCTTGGCTATAGACTGTTGAAATTTTGTAGAATTGTGAATAGGGGAACATACTCAAAAAACGATTTTAAAATATAGATAACAGGTGCAAAATTATCTCTTTTGAATGCTTAGCAAGATTTAGCAAGGCTGTACATAAATAATAAAAAAAACATGGTGAAAAAAAAGAAATAACAGAATCTCCATATTATGCACTGTATTTAACTTTTTACAAAACGATAATACATTAAAATTTGAAACTGTAACAGCCATTTATTTATGAGCATTAGCAAACTTCTTACTGAGTGAATTGTTATGCAAATTAGCAATTATCTCAGCTTCTTTTTAGTGCACGTTCCAGAACTTTAAAAAAAAAAATAGCTCCTAGACGCTTTGACCTTTTGTTTTGAAATTTTCACAAATGATTGACAATGTGTTTATCTTCAAAACGCCGTTGGGGCATTGTTTTTAGTTGAATAGTGTTACAGCAATCGTACAGACAACTAGCATGGGTGTTAATTTATGCATAAACTTGAAGTAGTGAAATTTGAGCTGCTGCCCTACAAAATTTACAACTGGTAGACAGTTTTCAAGACGGCACTTTCTTCATAGTAAACAAATGTACCCATAAACCAATTTTGACAGGAAACAGAAGCATGGTTTAGAAGCTAATTTTTTTTAAATCACTTTTGACCAAAAAAGCACATTTTTGTGCATATTTCAAACTACAGTGTCCATAAAAATAAAATACTTACAAAACTTTAAAATTCATACAATAAGCTTTCCGAAAATACATAGTTTTCTGGACAAGGGAGGTCATCTTGGTTTCCTAATTAACTAATTAAAATACCTGTCAGGCAAACTGCATCTCTACCTTAATTTCTATTTCTAGGTACATGTGTAGTTGCATCTTTACCTCGCAGCCAGCAGGAGTTTTACACTTTGCTAACTGTTGTCCACAAACCTAGTCCAGGCAATCGTTCGGCAATTCGTCAGCATACCACTGCATTATCCGCTACATATTTCGTTATACAGACATCTCCACTTGTCAATGAGTAGGAGCCAATGCTGCCATTCTATATGAATTAATTTTACCTAACTAAACTA